AGGAGGAGTGTTCGGGAACTGCCAGTCGTCTGATTCAAAAGAGCGTTCGAAAGGGACTCTCCTATACCTCCCGTATAGCTCCGTCCTTGTTTGCAATCATGGGGCAGGTATATGAGAGCCCCTCTTGAACGCTCTCCTGAATCTTCAGACGGCAGGAACCGAGGGGTGGATAACTCTTGAATTGGGTGTACAAATTTCAAGAATTGAATTTGAATTAGCTTGAATTGGTTTGAATTGAATTTGAATTGGACTGAATTGGTGGAATTGGTTTTGAATTGGTTTGAATTATTGCGATTTTATGTTACTGAATTAGCGTGAATTGGCTTGAATTGACTTGAATTGACTGAACATTGTCTTGAATTGGACTGAATTAGTTAAATTAGTTTTGAATTTGTTTGAATTAAATTGAATTGGTCTGAATTAGTTTGAATTGGGCAGAATTAGGGGTGTACACTTGGCAGGGGAGTTATCCACCCCTTGGCAGGAACGACCTTGTATAACGGTCAACACAGTGTGAGGAGGAGGGTGTGGAGGAACGCTCTCAGGGAGCTCCAGAATGCCCCTCCAGACAGCGTCTCGTAGCCTCGCCGTCTAAAACGCCGCCTCGGCGCAATGCCGGTCCAGAGTGTGGTGGGGCAGTGTGTTTTGTGCTGATCGCACTGCTGCGGTCATATGGCGATCTCCGGGCCGGTTCAGCCGCGGCGCGCCCGATGCAGATCAGATCCTAGAGCCGGGTGGGCCTAGAGGCCCCCGATTGCGTCCGAAACTGACAGAGAAGGGAGGTGCTCCAGTCGGACCATGCCTTCATCTAGTGGTAGAAGTTGTCAAGTAAAAGCTACCAGGTCTATATTATGGTCCTCGGCACCATATAGCTCCATCTCACTCCTGCCCGTCGTTTACGACGGGCGTAGGTCGCCCGGCCCGGCTCTGGACGCATTTGGTGGAATCAAGACGAACGGTACATGTCCCACGCCACGCCCACCTCAAGTCCCCCGTGTCTCTGCCCGCGTCCCGCGCACCCGGCCGGGGCCCCGCCGCGCCACGGGGCTGCGTTGCACCTTTCGCCACACACCGTCCTCCCCGTCGCGGGCGTCGCCGTCGCCTGTGTTTCCCTTTTCACCACTTTGAAGCAGCCGATTCCGATGTAAGAAATGGGTGTACCTTGTCTGCAACAGCGCCGTTATCGAGAGTCGCTCAGTCTGCCCGACCGGTCGGCAGGTGCACACACTCTCTCTCTCTCTCTCACTCACACTCACTCTCTCGCTCACTCGCTTTCTCACTCGCGTTCACTCCCGCTACGTTCCGTTTCGTTTCGTTCCGGCGCTCCCCGTTCGCGGACGCGTCTGCCATGCGACTGGCGGAACAACGTGGAGTTGAGCCCCGCCGAGCCGGGCTGGTCCGGGCGGCCGGGCCCGGCCCTGTGGTGGGGCGCGGTGCGGCGGGGTGAGGTGGGTTTGGGCGCGGTGGGGCGCGGTGGGGCGGGGTGGGTGTGGCACCCGGAGGAGCGGGGAGTTACCGAGGGCGCCCTGGGTTACCGCATTATGCTTGCACCGCGGACCAGAGCGGGGGCCGAGAGGAGAGAGAGGACGCCGCACGGTAGCGACAAATTAGCTTCAAATAAAAATTCGGGTTGGTAGGCTTTTTCTATCTTTAATAAATATTTTTCAATTGTACAGTACAAATGTATATACGCGTCCTAGTTGACTCGCCTATCACTAATATGAAGATCGAAGGATAAGAAGTGCCGCGGTGGGTGAGAAACATCCTCCTGGGTCGAGGACGAACAACAAACACGGCCGAGACCGAGAGGGAGGTGTAACGAGGTAAAGGGATTCAAATGAGAGCTGGGGTGGTAATGACAATGTCTATGTACGGGAAAAGGGCATTGTTCATGATCGAACAACGCAATACTATATTAGGCGGCTAGTAATCCTAAACAAAAATACATGCAAAATAACGCCAATTCTGCGTCATTCTGACGCAGGAGAACATGTGTGAAAGTCAGCACTGTAGAACTTAGGGTGAAATTTAGGTGCTGAGCTACCATATCTTATCACCGTCATAGCGAGCAATCAATCAATTATGAGAACAAGGTCAACGTTTACACACAATCTTGTGTAGCTCAAGAAAAAAATATATTGAAGATTATGGTACCGTTTAAATTCGCAAGCGATCTCAGGTTATTGGTGAAAATAAATAAATTCTAACAAATGTTAACAACAACTACCTTGTCAGAGAATCTTGCAAAAGTTCAATTACACACAGATTCATATTTACACAACTCACCACTTTCAAACAACACGTTACGCAAAATTTACACTTTGTACAACCTTTGACTCTAAATGACTATCTTCACTTTCCTTTCATTCTCAACCCGCAACACTCACAGGAAAATTCACAAATCGACTGCCAGAGTGGCCACTTAGAAACAACGTGAATTCTTAAATATTCTAACATTAACAGTACTTGAGTAAAGAGAGCACTTACATACATAAAGAAAACGTTCACCGGTATATCGGTCAAAGAATCGAAATGAGGAAACCTAGTAGTTCATCGATTGAAAGATTTCTTCGCAAAATTCTTTTTGATAAGGAGACACAAATGACCGGTATTGCTCCCCCGGGTCAGCGCGGGACGGGCGGGGAGCCGGGGGCAGCGTGGAGTGCTTGACGACTCGTCGGCCCGATCGGCACCGCGATGCCCCGCCGAGGGCCCTCACGGGACGATTTCCAATCAGTCCATGAGCGTGCGTCGTGTGGGCGCAGGGCCGGGTGCTCGGCGGGGTCGCGGCCTGCGGAGGCCGTGGGTCTGGTCTACAGGGTGCAGGATATGAGAGAGTCCGCGGCCTTTAGTCCGTGGCGTTGGGGTTGGTGTAGCTGAAGCCCTGGAACTGGGTCTGGTCCATGGAGTGCAGGATGGCCTCGTCGATGGGCGTGAGCTGGGCGCGCTCGTTGGTGAAGGTGCGGTCGAAGTATTGGACGTCCAGGGGATGTTGCTAAAAACACAGAGTGTGGTCGTCACGGCTTGTTTTTTATGATTTGAGGAAACGGAAACAAGAGCAGCGGACGCGGTGCAGCAGACTCACCAGCCTTGGTTTGAACGGGGCCTCCAGCTGGCGCCTCTCCAGGGACACCCAGTCGATGGACCGGAAGAAGGGCTGGTGGCACACGTCACCAGCCGTGCACTCAGGAGTGCCCAGCCGCTTGGTCTGGTCCTTCTCCAGCAGCTGCAACAAGGGGGTCATGGTGCAGTCCCTCTCGCTCAAGTGAAGTGAAACACGACTTCAAGACCAATAAAAATAAGTCATTGACTTGCTTTTGGTATAATCCACCCGGGCACATTGTCATGATTATTTTGACGTTTTGATAGCGATAGCAATGTCCACGTGCACGACATCGTCTCTCTCTCTCTCCTGCTCAACAGAAATGCAGTGCCGCCCTCTCACCAGCACGAGGATGTCCCGTGCCTCGACGGACAAGAAGCGGGGGTAGTGGGCCTGCTCGTTGCAGATGGACCAGAAGAGGTCCTCCTCGTCCAGGCCGGAGAAGGGTGACTGGCCGATGAGCATCTCGTAGAGCAGGACGCCGAACGACCACCAGTCCACGCACTGGTTGTACTTTTGGCCCTTGATGATCTGCAGCAAGAAGGAAAGGTACTTCTTTTTAAACTTTAAACTCAATAAGCGTACACCGATTCCTCCGTTTTTCTTATTTAATTTCTGATTTTTTATGAATTTGTATACTTCATTGTGAATTTGTTTTTTACTTTTTATCGATTTTTCCTTGATTGTTAGTGATTTTTTCTTAATTGTTTTCTGAGTTTTTTTGTTTTTTTTAAAGAAGGTGTACACTGTTTTTGTTGTTGTTTTTCAGTATGAAGTACCCATTGCGGGTGCTGATGCTGATGGCACACTTTTCAGTAGGTGAGAAGCCTCGCGTGTCGGTGTCGGTGTCGGTACGGGTGAGGCTGCGACACTCACCTCAGGAGCCATGTAGTCCGGGGTGCCGCAGAAGGTGTCGGCCGTCCGGTCCAGGTAGATCTGCAGCTTGCACATGCCGAAGTCGGCGATCCTAACGTGGCCGTCAAAGTCCAGCAGGATGTTGTCCAGCTTGAGATCTCTGCGACAAGACACGGGAAGGGCGTGCGTCACCAGACTGTTCGCGTGTGTATGAGGGTGCTAGGAGGGGGAGCGGCTAGCGCTGGCGGCGGGCCTCTCTCGCAGCAGCAGCGAACGTTGGGCTGCCTACCCACTAGGCGCACTGGCGCCGCACTCCCCACGGGCGACAAATCTACAGGGAGAGCAAGGGAGAGCGTCCGCAGATCGCTGCCAGCAGCTGGCAGATCATGGCTGAACGTCCTTTGGGTAGTCATCACCTGCTGCAATTTACTCAGGGTGAGTGTTCTGCGCTATTTTTTTCCCTGGTCATTCTGTACCGGATTTAGGCGAACGGGCAACACGGCGAGCGACCCACACCTACATGACTGAACCCGGTACAGTATAACCACAAAATGTAGATCACACACCCTGTCATAGAAGTTTGAATCAAATAACATTCGACTTTTTTAACGTCTGGTCCGGAAAAACAAAAGAAAGTTAAACGGTGCGGGTTTCATTTTAGTGGATGATCCATTTCTCAGGTGCTGCAGTTTCTTCGTGACATACCCAGCTACGAGAACTGCATTAAAACTGCGTCACGTCTAAACCGCCTCTAAAATGCGCGCATGTGCCGAAAATGCGCGTGAACGGGCCAGAAATACGCGTTTAAGACGGGACATGGAATTCAGTTTAGTTTCAGCAGTTTGCTCGTTTTTTGGTACCTGGGTCCTCGCCATTTCCTCACCTGTACACGATGCCCTTCTTGTGCAGGAAGCGCAAGCCGGACACGATCTCGGCCGCGTAGAAGCACGCGCGCCTCTCGTCGAAGCGGCCGCTCTGCTGGATGTGGAACATGAGGTCGCCACCGTTCAGGTACTCCATCACGAAAAACAGGTGCGACTGCGCACGAAAGAGAAGTTTACTTTAGAAAGACAGCCCTGATTGGAGGAAAAGGGGGAGGGGAAGGGGGAATGAAATTGAAAAAGGTCGATCTTTATTTACCCCGGTAACCCATTTCTTTGTCGTTATTTGTCGACCCCTGCCCACCTAAGGTGAACCGGGCTTGGCAGCGCGTCCCGATGCGCCACCCGCCACCCCACGGGGAGGGACCGACCCTTGCCCTGCTCGCCCCCCTTCACTCACGCCCCGCGCTCCTCCCGCGGGCATTCCCCCGCTCCGCCCCCGTCCCGCCCCCCACCCCGACGCGTTTGGCAGGCAGGCGGATGGTCCATTAGCTCGCGAGTCAGCCGGTGCCGCACACGAAATGTATACTACCCGCCCTCTCCCCCCTCCCTCACTCATCTTTGGTACAGGGCGAGAGGCAGCAGTGCGATGGCGATAGGATTCTGAGAGCGTGCGTCTTTTGGCGGATGCAGCCCAACTAGCCGGTCAGCTTTTACGATCGACTGAATAACAAAATGGATCCGTCGCGTGGAACGTTATCGTCTCGTTTCGAGAGTGTCCACTCCTGGCAGCGTGTCCGGCCCATATAACCACGTCATTGGGGCAGGGAAGTACACTACTACTTCCGGACTGGAGCGCGATCCGGTCCGGATGTGGGCTGGCCGCGGCTGGGACCGCCGCCGCCGCAGTGACCCCGTGAGCAAGGATCGGTCAGTTCAGCGCTATAGCCATGACATTCAGGAGACGGGTGGTTTGATGACACTCTGCGCAGAGCACAGATTCCGAGAGAGGCCGTGGCGAGTGCCGCAACAGAGTGTGATGAGAGTGCCGATGTGCACGTGGCACGCCTCACCCCCTCCTCTCCCCCTCTACAAGTAGTGTACCCGGCAGAATGGCAGCGGTTCAACTCGGCCCTTCCGCTCCAATCGACAAGCCACCGTCCCCCACTTGAACAACCCTCTCTCTTTTCCTATTCAACTATAGAGGGTTTCCGCTAAAACAGAAACGGAAACTCCACAGGTACAGAGAGAGTGGGTGATCAGCAGCGCCGTCCTCTTTTTCTGGCTATACTGTACTGGATTCAGGCGTGTGGGCGGTCACGCCTCACGTCGCACACCTAAATGCGATACAGTACACCAAAACAAAAAAAAGAAAAAACGGTGCAGATCATCCACGCTGTAGTTCCAAATATTCGCGATTCTCATGTCTGAGTCCGTACAATTCGCGTGGTTAAAAGAGGCATTTCAAACTCAATCCCGTCGACAATAGGGAGCATAAGATCTTGATCTTACTATTCAACGACTGACCCCGCAGGAGTAACTGCCCGCGTCCCTGCTTCCCCGTTGCTGCTTCTGTCTTATCCCCCGAGTCTTTAGCTAGGCGTTGCATCATCGCACCTCTATTTCGGCGCCTGATCTCCCCCCTCCCCCCCTCTCCCCCTCCCCATCTCTCGCTCTCTCGCTCTCTGCAACGCCCCATCTTCGACTACTCGGAAGCGCAGGGTAAACAGGTAGAACGAAATCGATCATAGTCGGGCAGAGCGGTGCAGAAGGAGGTTAACAAGGGTGCAAACTGCGGCATATTTTTAGACGTTTGCCTGTCTAATCCCCGGATTTCTCGGGTGATTGGTTGGTTTCCCGCCGCGCTCGCGCGCAGCTCGCGCAGCTCGAGCTGGCAGACGAGCCTTGCAGGAGGGGCTGGCACCACCCGTGGCCAGACCCGGCCGCGCCCCGTGAAAAATTAAGTCGGTAATCGTGGTGAACATATGTTTCACTGACGCCACCTCACGGTGTGGCAGTGACTTAGGGCTGATACCCACCTCGGTCTGGAACGTGCAGAACAGGTGGCACAGGTAGGGGTGCTTGGTGCCCAGGGCGAGCACCTTGCGCTCAATCAGCGTGCACTCCACGTCGTCATCCTCGAGCACCACGTCCTTCTTCAGGCACTTGACGGCGTAGTAGCACTCGGTGTTGGCGAGCTGCGCCAGCAGCACCTGAATCGGCAAAGAGAAGCACACCGTGATGATGAGCACGGGGTGCTAGGGGCCGGGGCTGGACGAGGCGACGCGCCGCCATACCCACCTTTCCGAAGCTCCCCTTCCCGAGCACCTTCAGGAACTGGAAGTCCTCCACCGCGTACTTCCTGAAGCGGGGAATGGTCGTGGCCGGCGGCGTGATGCGGCCCCCTTGCCTGGGCGCCGCCGCAGCCGACGACGACGACCTGGAGGAGGCCGGGCTGTCCTCGAGCCGCAGCGCCGGGTTCTGGGCGGGCGTCCTCGTCGGCGACCCGGGCTCCCGGGGCTCCGGGGCTGGAACAGGGCCGTCCAAAGTCATGGACCGGGAGAGCGTGCGCGCGGAGCCGCGAGGTGGCGGGCCGGGCCGGGCGGTGCGTGCCGGTTGGGTTGCCTACGCAGCGCGTGCGGGCGCCGCTCAAGCGCCCGACCGGCTGAGGACGCACTCGCAGCACGCCCCGCGCCCCGCGCACCTCCGCGCGCCCGTCGGCGTGGTATAAGGAGACAACCACAGCAACGCAGCCCACGCCATGTAAGAGGTGGCAAAACAACACATTAAGTTAAAATACTGTTTCTAGAGAGAGGATTATTAGCACACTAACGTGCCGTGCCGGGGGGTTGCAGTAGCGGGAGTGGGTGAGCATATCGTGTGCGACAGCGGCGGCCGCCGCTTGGCAGTGCCGTCGTCGGCGCAACCGGGAGCCCGCGAGGTACAGAGAGGAAGGATCCTCTCTCCGTGAAGCCATTACGGCGTTACGGCCTCATCCGCCGACTAATTCATCCCGAGAAGTTCCCCAGTTTGCTCCTCTCGCCCTCGCCTATTGCCGCTCAAAGGCGCGCCAGCTCGGTCGGGACCATTATCAGGGGCTCGCTTTTTGAAAACGCGAAGCCAAGCACGGCGTGTGCCAAAAGCCGCACCGCGCCGGTGCTCGGCTCAGCTCGGGAGAAAGAAAAATGGGCGCGGGCCGCGGACGGACAGACGGACGTCGGCGGAATATTTTTAACGAAGCGCAAGTGAAGTACTCGGTCGCGGAGGCGGGGGTGTTGTACACCCGGCGTAACCTCAGCAGTTGTCCCGGATCAATCAACTGTCGCGCGCCTCGGTGGAAGGAGAAAAGGAAGATTGAGAGTGTGTTCCTCTCAGAGTTATTTTTTGGGGGGCTTAGGGGGGGTAGAATAAGAAGGGACTGAATGAAATATGGGAGGGGTGCTGCTATGGGCCTGTCGAAAACGGCTGCACCGCGAGTTGTTACCGAGGTAATGACACCTGACAAGGAGTCGCACTTTATCGCCCCCAACACCTCACGACGCTCACCTCCCCTATTTTTCCCCTGCCCCCGCGGCGGGTTTTGGCCCGCTGCGGGCGGCAGTGGACCGCAGTGGTGCCGGGCCAGGCGGGGCGATGCCAAGGCAAGGGCCACACAAGCATGTAATGCTGCTGGCGCTGCTGCCCGCCGCGCTGCTGGCGCACATGGGGCTAGGTACACCCCGCGGGTGCGACCCTCGGGTACGGCTCGGCCCGGCGCGACCCGGGGCGTTATTTCAGGATCCTCGAAGCCGTTTGCGGACGTATGTCCCCTCGATATAGACCGGCCGGCGGCGGACGCAGCACCCCGCCCCGGGGCCCGTGAGCAAAGCCGTACGCGGCGGCCGCCTCCAGGCGCGACAAACCCCCATCCCCTGCCTCCTCACCCCCGCCGAGCCCAAAGGCGACCGTGAGCTCACCCCGCGTCCTGCAGACATCCTCCCTCAATTTACTTTCATGTCTTGGCATATGGCTTACTTCCTGCCGGCAGCCATGCCGTCTTTTCCACCATCCTATCATCCCCGACCCCTCCCCCTACCTCACATACACGCGCGATTACTCCCCTTTTCCCGCGCGCGCGACGGGTAAATCCAGCCAGGGGGGGTGAAATAAAGTGTCGACTACCACCGCGGTGACGTGAATACGCCATGCTGCCCGGCCTGGGGGGCCGACCTGGGGGATTTGGTTACGTGGGCGGCGTGCACGGCACGGTCAGGGGTGCGCAGAGGTCGGCAATGATGTGTGAGGGTAGCGATTTCGCGACCAGCGCCACGCCACGCCCCGCCGCTTAAGCTTGCACTCGGGCGCGCAGTGCATGGACGTGAGCGCGCCTGACACCTGGGGCTGCGCTGCCTGGCACTGGCACTGGCCGTGCAAAATGATTCAGTACAGTCGCTTTCTTTTCCTTTGGCGCGAAACTACCGGCCGTTTCTAAACGTGTACTACCCCCGCACCGCTTACGTCGGTGTTTGTGGACCCCTTTCGAACCACTTCATCGCCAAGGAGAAAAGAGGGACAGTGGCAGAACGCCCGGATAGAGGAGAAGCGTTTAACTAAAGTGAAACGAGGGAAGAAATAAAGAGTATGAATAACAAACATTTTTTTTTTCAGAAACAAAATACCGTCTTGATCTTCCCTCTATGAGTTTACTTTTCAGTTCGTCCGGGGAGCTAGCAGTTACACCGTCGAGCAGCACCCTTCAACCGCCACCAATTACACGCGAGAGTTACGGCCGCGAGGAAGTCCCCGTCACGGCGAGACTAACGGCGAGCAGCTCACGGGACTCGGTGACCAGGGTCCTGCCGCCCTGCCTGCGTGTTGTGTGCCACGATGACAACACACCAACTTAAGACTCTGCGCCTTTCAGATCATTGATTATTACTGACCACGAGAAAGGGGTAGTAGTACAGCAATTTCAACTATGCAGGGATGGGTGATATTTCGAAAATGTTTTATTGCTCTAACGTGAGCCTCTGCCTATTTTGGCTGGAAAACGGAAGGTTTGTCGAGAAAAATAAAAATGAAAATGCAAATGAGGAAAAGTAGGGAGGGTTGTCCTCAAGCGTGGCGCTTCTTCTAATTCCGTCTGGCCGTTTGGCAACGCTGCGACGTGACCATCCAAGCGTGACAACGACACGTCTTGCAACAGTGCAGCGTGAGCCGCAGGGTGAGCGAACTCGCCCCTCCCCCCCGTCCCTCCCCACCCGCCTTACGCAACGCAGCTCTAGCCGACACTGATTGGTTGGCGAGGGTGTCATGTCCCCCTCAAAATGATTGCTCTGCGAGACGCCCCTATGTTCCCGCCTTCTGCTCCCTGACCACCCCCACACCTGCGGCTCTTGTGGCCTCGTTTACGAGCAGATAAGGAAGGGCATGGCTAGCCAATACTAAAACAGCAATCTAAACACCTTTGTTTCACCTATTGACGTCCGACACCGCAAAAAACCGTTAAAAAACAAACATTTTACCCTGGCAATTGACGGAATATTTTTGAAATGAAAGATAATTAAAATCGAGTAAAATGATCATGTGATGATTATCTATTTTTGAAAATTTCTTACCCTTATTTATAAAAAATTCTTACGTAAATGAATTAAAGCTTGCTTCGATCTCGCTTAAAGATTTTTCTCCCTGGCTCCTGTGTCCTGCTGGTCCTTGCCTACCACCCTCACACGTTTTTCTTAGGTGCCACATAGACAAAGATGCCACGAGTCGCACCCCGACCTGTCTCTTTCTCTCTCGCGCACACACAGCCCCACAGACCGAGACACACACACACACTCATCAGCTGAGTGCCTCACCGGGGGACCCAAGCCCCGGCGTTGCATCAGTGAGCGATGTGATATTTTTGAGGCGCCAGGAGGGGCATTCGGACATCCCCCTTCCTGCTATTCTCCCCCCTACCCCCTCTCGCCCTCTTTCCCTCCCAACTCTCCCTGGCGCCAGTTCTTCTATCCGCATCCCACCCGATCCCACCTACTACTACTTTGCCTTCATCATTCCCGATGCGCTAGCCTGTCTGGCCCCACTCTGCGTCTTGTCCAAACAGCAGAGTCATCGACCCGGCCATGCACCCCGTCCGTCCTGCACCCCGCCCTCCCCACGCGGGTACTTACGGAGTGCTTGAGGAGCACTTTAACCATGATGTGGTACTTACGTTTGTTTTTCACCGAGCGCAGCGCCTCAACTATAAGCTTCTGGTTCACGCCGCACAGGTTGGGCATCAGTTTCTCACACTTTCTGTGACAGTTGACGTCACAGTCTGCAAGCACACGTCACATAAACTACTTTGCACTCGTTCACACACTGCTTGAGCAAGAGCGGAGCGCACAGAAACAGTCCCCATGGTGGTGTTTTCCCCCTCCCCTAAATATTGTGGTGACGTGTATGTTGTGGTGTTGTGTTTGCGCGAGTGATGGCACGTTGGTTCCAGAGAGTGATGCGTTAGGAGGGTGCCGATTCGCTACACCACGACAACAACGCCTCCATCCCCTACCGACGTTGCCGTGTCGGCCATTCACTCAAGGCTCGCCGAGCCCTTGCGCTCGTACAGTGGACATGCGGCCACTGGGACTGGCTGGCTCGCTTCTGGTCCCGTTTCAATGGCATTGAGACTTGGCTCCGTCTGGTACAGAGATGCGGCGCCCATTTGCCCGGGACCTCGCCCGGGGCCCCGCCCGACCGTCCGTCCGACCCACCCTCCCTCCTCGAGTTGTTGAGGGGGGAGAGGGGGCTACCCCACACGGGGCGGGGAGGCGGGGCAGGGGGATTGACTTCCTATTCCTAGCAAGGCCGAGGGAGGAGGCACCAGGCCCACTGCACCTGTTGGAGGAGGTGCAAGGGCCTAGGGCATCACCACGCCCCGCCTCGCCTCGCCCCGCCACGCCACGCCACGCAACGCCACGCTTCACAGCGCAACGGCCAGGAGGGCCTCGGGCAGGGCAGGGTCACAGACGCACGCGGGGCATACCTTGGCACTGACCATAGCCGTACCCACAGAGGCCATCAATTTCGAGCCAATCTGTCTCGACGCACTGTCTCGCTCTCACACACTTGGACACGACGCCTTTCTGCCTCTTTCGTTTCTTCCCTTTCTATCTCTCTGTCTCTGTCTCTCTACACGCCCTTGCCCGTGAGGGAAGACTTAAAGCTGCCAGCCCGGCTGCGAACTCGTAGCAACATCAAACAAGCACATTCACTACAAAGCGAGCAGTTAATCTCGTCCTCTCATTAAGTCACTGTTACAACAGTTCCTTCCGCCTAAGGGGCTCTACACCAACACGGACGCACACTCACAAAGCGTTAGTCCACAACGCATGCAGCTAAAACGTAAGCCCCTCCGGGAGACGGGGCGGCGCTCGAGCAGCGGATAGCGAGGACCCCGCTAGGGGCGCTGGCTAGGAACAGCCTGCCGAGGCCACCCTGCCCCGCGGTGCAGCTCGGGGAGGGGTGTAATGAAATGAAGTGCAACTACCCTGCCTCAAGGCAGCTGGACTACCGGGGAGCGATGCCGGGCAGCTGTCGAACCCGGAGTCGGACGACGACGTACTGGCCCGGGCCTTCCCCTTGGTGGACTTCCCAGTGGTGGACTTGAGGGAGCCCACCTCCGACTCGTCCGTCTCCTCTTCCTCCTCCTCTTCCTCGCCCTCCCCGTCCGACGAGGTCTCCTCTTCCTCCTCCGAGCCGGAGCTGGATGTGGACGACGAGGATGAGCTCTCCTCGTCGGACGACGTCAGGATGTCGTCATCCTCCTCCTCCTCCTCGCCCTCGCTGCTGCTGCTGCTCGGCAGCCCCTCCTCTCTGCGCTTCTCTCGTCGGCGCGCCGCCTTTCGCGCCTCCTTCTCCGCCTTCTTCTTCTCTGCCTCCTTTTTCTTGATCATCTCCTGCTTCTGAAGCCACTTGTCCCTGAACTGCGACCGGAACACGAAGCAGTTCTGCTGGAGGCGTGCCCGATTGATGTTGGACGCACCCATGGCTCCGTTCTCCTGCACGAGAGCCACCCCGGGAATCATCCTCAGCGCCCGCCTGTTCTTCTCCTCCTCTTTCTTCTTCTGTTCCCGCCTTTTCCGCCGCCGCCGCCTCCTGCGCTTCTCCTGTCGTCTTTTGGCCTCGGCCTCCTCGTCGATCGTCTCCTGTGTTTTCAGTACCTTTTCGGGCGCCACCGGCGTCAGCGCCTCGCCCGTCAAGCTGGCCTTCCTCTTGGCAAAGGCCTCTGCAAGCGGCGACAGTGGTGGAGCCTTTTTGTCGAGTGGAGAGTTTGGAATGGATTTGATGCCTTTACTCACGGCCACAGGGGTCAAGGCGCTCGGAGACCACGGGGCTTTGGGCCCCGGTGTCTTCGGGGTGGTGGCCGTCGGGCTTGCCAGGTCGATGGAAGTCACGGCCGGTACCCGGGACAAGGGTGGGGGTTTTCCCTTGCGGGAAGTTTCTTCCCCCTCAGTCTTTTTGGTTTGGGTGGCTGCCACTCCAGACGGAGTGGTCGGGGTCGGTGGGGCGGCCCCCGCCTTCCCCTTGCTGCCCGGAGAGCTCTTGTCACTACCGGCAGGGGACTTTGGCGCCGCCTTGTCCAACGGTGGGGCACTATCGGCCGCTTGCTTGGCTGTTGTTGGGGTTTGAACCACAGGCTTGGCTGTTGTCGGGGTTTGAACCACAGGCTTGGCCGTTGTTGGGGTTTGAGCCACAGGCTTTGCTGTAGTTGGCGTTTGAGCAGGTGTCTTTGCAGCAGATGGCGTTTGAGAGCACGGCTTGACATCTGCTTCATCCAACGATTTAGATGAGGTTGTGAGGGTAGGTTTCGATAAGGTAGGCGTGTCCACAGACGAAGTCTTTTGGAAAGGTTTTGGTTTGGCTGCTGTTGGCGTTTGTAAAGGCGTCTTTGCTGCGGTCGGAGTTTGTGGAGGAACTTTGGTTGCCGATGGGGTTTGAACAGGAACTTTAGCCCCTGTTGGAGTTTCAGGGGCATCTTTGGCTGCCGTGGGAGTTTGGGGGGGAAGTTTTGCCGCTGTTGGAGTTAGAGGAGTAATTTTAGCTGCCGATGGCGTTTGCGGTGGCTCTTTGGTCTCTGCTTGTGTAGGTGGCTTAGCCGCGGATGGAGTTTGAGGGGAAGTCTTGTCTGCAGAAATAGATGGGGCAAGGTTCTTCGTGGCACTATCTTGCTTCGTTAGTGCATCCGATATATTTTTCAAATTTACCTTCGGAGTCATTGGAGTTTCTACTTTAGCCTTTGTTGTAGTCTGAATTTGGACAGAAGTGCTGACCGCCTTGGCTGCTGTCGGCGTCTCGACAGCTCCCCTTGTGGCTTTTGCTGGAGTGCCAGGTGTCTGAGGGGGAGGTTTCACTGTGGACGGAGTTTGTACAGAAGGTTTCTGTGCAACAGGGGTCTGAGCAGCAGTCTTAGGAGTTTGCGGCACGACAGCAGGAGTAGAAGGAGTTCCTGCTGAGGTTTTCACTTGAGTTTGGGCCGCACCCGATTTCTGTGACGGGCTTGGTGGTACAGTCTTCGTAGGGGTTTGAGGTACGCTCTTAGGCGCTGATGAAGTCTGTGCCGAAGGTTTCGCTCCCGCGCCAGGTGTTTGGACCTCCGCTGCCTTTGACGTCTTGGCTGCGACTGGAGTTGCCTGGGGCGACGAAGTGGCAACCTTGGGTGGGTCATCCTTGCTCTTCAGGGCCTCCACAACTGGTACCTTAGGCTTGGTGATGAGCCCGGACCCACTGAGATCCAGAGTGTTTGGTCTGGCCGGCGGGGTCGTGGGGGATTTGACGGTATCCCCCTCTTCGACGTGGCTGACTTTCGACTTGAGTACCATCTTCTCGTCCAGCTTGAGGCCCACTGTCTTGTTTGGCACCATCTTCCGGGAGGGCACCCGCTTCGGATCGTCGCCCTCCACCACCACGTCGTACACGAACCGCCGCGGCGCCTTGGGCGAGTGCGTCACCTCCACCTCCACGTCGACGAGCTTGAGCGCGGGCTTGGGGGACGCGGGCTTGGCGGGCTTGCCCTTGAACGCCGTGGGCTTGAGCTCGCTGTCGTCCATGCTCGTCTCGCTGATCTGCGCCAGGCCCGGCACCTTGGACGCGGAGCCGCTCTTGGACAGGGACGCGGGCATGGCGGGGATGTGCAGAGTGGCGGTGATCTCTCGCGAGCCGCGGCGCTTGACCGACAGGCGGCGCTGCATCAGCGGCATGGGCGGCGGCTCCACCTCGGGGTCCTCGCTGATGGCGTCCTCCAGCATGAGCAGGTCCGAGCTGCGGCGCCGGGACTTGTGCGGGGCCACCTTGTGCTGCGAGACCTCGATGTCGGGCGCGGGGAAGCCCTTGTACGAGATGCGCGTCGAGCCCCTGCGCACCGGGTCCTCGTGTGTCATCTCATCCAGGATGAGCTCGTCGAGCACGTGCAGCTCCTGCTCCTCGGCCGTCTCGTCGGCGGGCTGCGCGCCGTCCTGGTCGGTCTCGTCCTCGGCGGTGGCTGGGTTCTGCTGCAGCGCCGAGGCCACGGCGGCGATGGCGTCCGCCTGCACGCTGGACTTGCGGCGCGGGGTGTTGCGGCGCACGATGGCGTGGTCGTTGAGGCGCGCGGCCCGGCGCCGCTGCCTCTCCTCCTCCTCCTCCCGTCGCAGCCGCTCCTCCTCGAGGGACTTGTCCTTGATGAGGAACTTCTCGACGAGGCGCTCGCCCGGGGTCTTGAGGCGGTTGCGCCGACGCTCGGCCTGCTCGGCGGTCTCCTACGGGGGCAACAGGGAGCAACGTGAAAGCAAACAGCGGACACCCCCTCCCCGCCTCTCTATAGTCCCACCGGCTGTACCCGTGCACCGCGGACCCGCGCCCGCTGCACGGTGCCTTACGTCACGACAGGCTCCAATGCCAATTCGTAAGCAGTGCCCTTAAAATTACTTTGTTTCGTCCCCCCTGCCAAATAAAGAACATCGATCTTCAAAGAGTTTTTCAAAGTATATGAAACGTGCAGCCGAAGTAGACACAATTACCCCCCTTCCCCAATCCAACCAACAGTCAACCAATACAATTTTCTTATTCCGTGGAGAAAAATTAGTAGCCGGCCACTGGCGTGATGCGCGGGCCAGTCGTAGTCGTCCCTGTTGTGTCTCGGGCGCGTCGCGGCGCAGTGCCGCACAGGGCCAGAGCGGATCGCCAAGTAAAGTGCCCGGTCGGGCTGGCGGTTAAGTACACGATGCCAAAGCTTCTGCTTAATTGCCCGTTCATGAGGATACACAGACAGAGGCATGCACTTCAACGGGTAACGGGTCAGCCCTTGTCGACACAAACAACCGGGTCGGCACGTCTCTCTTCGGCGAAGCGAACGAAATGATTTCGAAGAGCCAAAAATGATGGTCCTAATACGATTCACAGTATTTTCCATTCCTTTTTAGAAATTGATTCTTTGCTCCGTTTTCAAGTTTACTGTTTGTTCTGTGCACACAGAGGGGTATGCAGAAGAGCCAGTATGACAAGGTTGACTGTCCCCCCCCTTTAAAAAAAATTGGCGCCGAGAAAAAAAAAAGATTGGCTGGGTAAGACGTGCCAGCGCTCCGCCCCGCCATCCGATCAGATCTCGAGCGAATGTCTTTCACGGTTACGACAAAGTTCTGACGGTTCTACGATGTTCTTAGCATCCTCTATATTCAATGTTCCTCTTATCCTTCATGAGACCCAAGAATAGTAAAACTAGTGCGGAGGGGAAACAGTTCGGTACCAAAAATGATAAAAGAAAAACTGTGATATACTCGCATAATCACTGACTCCCCATCGATTTTAGGACAAAATGTCCCGCAGCTAGCTGCGGCTCGCGGCTTTACTCTTCTCCACCCTCCAGCCTACCTTCCACGGCCGCCGCGGTTGCGCGTCTCTCTGGAGGTAGATGAGGATGCCGTTCAGATTGGTCATCCCAGACACATCGTGCTCACGACACAGCGATCCGCTCGACCGCGGGGTACTGGCCCCCACGGGGCCCAGGGACTGTGGGAGACCCCCCAGGGCCCCGGCGCGGCCCCGGCTCGGGTCAGGCACTGCATTGTATCAACTGCCAATCGAGTGACGCATTGGTCCATCGCTCAGCGACATACAGTCCTGCACCGCGGCTCCCCGCCCCTGTGGCCACTGGCCACCTCCACGAACACAACCTCCCGCGGCGCCCCAGTGGTGCCTTGGAGCATGCAGTCCTAGTTACACCACCCCCGACCCACAACTTAGTGACGGAGGCTTTCTTAGAACCCTTCCTTTGTTTACCACAGTACAGTGTTTACTGTTTGTCGTTGGCACGTAAAGCTGCACGTTTCATATGTTTTGAGCTAGCTAAATTACAATTAATTTGACAGACGCGTCCCCCTGTTTGCCGGTTGTTAGTCACCTTCTTGGTCCGGAGGCGCACCACGGTGCGGTCCCTCTTGATGGTGCACTTGCCGGTGCCGCCGCGCTCGATCACGGCGCGCTCCACGGCACGCTCGGCGCGCACCCTGTCGACCTGCAGGCCGTCCGCGGCCGAGGAGGACGACGGCGGCGGGGCCGGGGCGGCGGCTGCCGCGGAGGACGCGGCCATGGAGGAGGGCGACGGCGAGACCGTCCTGAGGGCGGCGTTGGCGGCGGCCGCGATGGCCCTGCGGCCGCGGGGCTTGGACACGTCGATGTCGGACACGTCCATCCACTTGGGGCGCGCCGGCCGGTACCCGGAGCTGTAGCCCATGCTGCGTGCCAAACACCCTGGTCAGCACTGCACCCGACACCTTCCCCCGCCCGCCCCATCCCACCTCCAGTCGGACCCGTCACCCCTCAATGTAGAGACCAGCCTGATCAGTCACTTTAAAAGTGTGTGAAAAATGCACGTTGCTTGCTACAAACGCGCAATCGTGCCACATAGAAAATGGTTTCATTGAAATACTGGAAATAAAAGTAGATCAATAGAAATGTTTGTTTCTGTACACGGATTAAGGAGAGCGATTTGGGGGAGGGGAGGGGGGTCGATGCCCCCATCTCGTCACCAGTGTGCCATATCTAATAGAAAGGCAATTTGCGCTAAAAAAAACGACCGTCCAGGTCCACCAAGCCCCACACCGTAAAGCAATGGAAAATCCTTTGAGTCAAGAGAAAAATTACATGACATCATCTCATAAGATCAATGGGACCATTTTCTAGGTATGACTCTCGAAAGACATTGTATAAATGGTATTCAAGATGAATCGAAATGGGAATGAAAAAGAACATACTGTAGAGTCCTCTGATAAGTATGCTGTTATGAGAATATGTAATGGCGACCAATGTCTTCTTTAGCCTAGTAAAGAAGGACAATGCGGGAGTAGACAAGAGAGTTTCTCACAACGAGATCTCCTCAACCGCGCAGTAGAGGGGTCTCTGAGGAACAGCAACATCAGCGACTGCGTTCTTTCCGTTAAAATCCGTTTAGAATAATTCGAACATAATTTTTCGGTGCCACATACAGGAGAGCCACAGGGCGAACGTCATCTAACAAAAAATTGTCGTGGGTAAAACACGGTTAATGATAGAAAGTAACACGCTTTTGAGAGCACTGAATCAGAGAACAACGACTTGTGAGTGCACAGCGTCGGTTCCACAAGGTCATCTACATTGTTTTCACTGAGGTGACACGCCTACCCCGCGAATCGAAGGTGGTTTTGGGGGGACGGGGCAAGAGGAGCCAGGGGCCGATCTGGAGGCGAGCGCGCGGGCCTCTGGACGACGGCGACGTACCGGGGAGACACGGGCGACACCCAGGATCGGGTGTCCATGTAGTAGTTGGAGGGGTTGCTGATGGAGATGACGCCTCCGCGGCCCGCGTCCAGCCCGTAGTTGAGCACGGAGGACAGCATCTTGGAGAAGGCCCCCGAGCCGGACGACGTCGAGTACGGGGAGCCATACGGCGAGCCGTAGGGGCCGCCGCCGCCGTAGCCCCCGTACGCCCCGTAGTAGTCGCCGTACAGCGGCATCGTGAGGGAGGGGGGCGGCGGGGGTGTTGTCCTGGAGGGTTGCGAGGGCGGGGCTGCGATCACATGGCTCGCGCGGGGCGGGGCGCGCACGAACGCGTCGGTCGCGTCGACTCTACTGGGGACCGCTCTACGCTGGCTTGGCTACGCACACCAGGCCAGGACGCCGCTAGGCCCACAGCGAGCCGACCGCATACCGTCCGGATACTGACCAATGGGCTTGCCAAGCACACGGCCCAAGCCAACGCGCCGCCCCGCGCCCCGGCCGCACCGCCCCGGCTGCCCCGCCCCCTGCCACCGCGGCCTGCTCCACCTCCTCCTCCTCCTCCTCTTCTTCATCTTCTTCTTCTTGGTCTTTATGTTCTCTTTCTTCTCGACTTTTATTTCTCATCCAGTCGCTTGATTCATTTTCTCTTCACTTGCAGTAAATTAATATTTTTATCTTGCCTCGCTCTTGCCGCTGTTTCTTTATTTTCCTCCGCCCTTTTCGCCGTCGTGCCTGTCTTCATTTCGTTCTTGTTCCGCGTGTCCCTTCCCGCTCGCTTTTGTTTGGCTTCCCTCCGCCCCTCTCTGTTATTCTCACGGGACCGCGGAAAGGGCAAGCGGCCGGCCCCGCCAACAACACCACCACCTGAACTTCGACGGCCCGCTTGTCGCGGTCGGCGTCTGCAAAAATAAGCCAGCCCCCCTAAAGAGATCGTTTCAAAGCGGGGATCGCAAATTCTTGCCATTGCTTATTATTAAAGTTTAATGGCATTGGGAGGCATGAGGTAGTAGCAGCAGCACAGCAACAGGCATGCAGCGTCAAGGTGAGAGCAGGCTGACAAACTGAGGAGGGAAGTTTAGTGGGAGAGTCTCCCTCCACAGGTGCGAGTCCAACCGTGCGTCGCGCAGACGACCGGGCACCGGGCAGGCGGGACATTTTGGCAGACTGACTTCCCTCTTCTCTCCCCCCCCCTTCTTTCCCTCGCTTTTCCTCTTCCACACTCACACTTCGACCACCTCCCCCCTTTTATTTAATTCTTTTCTACTCTCC